TATGGAAACAGTTGAGCAGCAGCAGCAGGGCAGCGCGCTCAGTGGCACGTGGCCCATTAATTAGTGAGGGGAACCACACCACTCCTCTGTTTCATGCCCGAGTTGCGGCCACACACACCTTCACATGCATTCACTCTTTCCAACAAGTACAAGCATGTGCATAGAGATGCGCAGAAAACAAAGAAAACATCCTATGACACAAACAGTGAGACATTCTCTTGTTATGACTTTTGAGAGACTGCAGGTCTATGTTCTACCCTTCAGGCAGAAATGTCTGGGGGTGTGCAACATATTGCAGCATGTGCTTCAATCAGTTACATCTTGACTCGGAGCACAACACCAGCTGATTTTAGTGAGGTTAAAATGTTGTTCGACAAAGTGCTTAGTATTGTCGTTGGACTGGGTCCAAGGGGGTATCTACAATACAATCATAGGATGTCAGCATTTACAAACATCTGCATTAATGTATTCCTGTATTGTATGATCTCCAAATGATTATGAACAGTGATACTGTGAACTTGTGACACAGTAATCCCGAGAATGTCAACAACAGGTTGTTTGTGTGCATGCGTTTCCTTCTGCTAGGATCTTGAAAAATGAATTCTGTGAAATAGATGGGTTCATTCTGTCAAATATGTACTATGTGTAACGTTTAGCAAGGTTGTTGTGTCATCAATCAAGTGAATATATAAGTTACTAGGTTTCATGAATTCTTTGTGAATTAGGGAAAATTAAAAAGAAATGTGAGTATGTGAAATGCCAACACACTTATGATTGGGTGTCAGGATGTGAACTCATCATGCAGTTAACCAGAGGTTATTGACCTTTCTGGCACGCGAGTCTTCCAAAAACAAAACCGTTTCCAGCAGTTTGACCATAAGAACTTATAACTTTTAGAAGACATAACTCTATGCAATATCTTACATTAAAAGTTGAAAGATCGGATAAGCTTATAAAAAAATATACAATTGTGTGAAGCAATTCACTTTCCTCTCTTGTCAATCATTTCTTGACCATTTATCTGCAGTGGAATATCAACAATAGAAAAGTTGCATGAGGGTTATATTGCATTTTACGAGATCTTCTGTCGCGGTGTTCCTGTGATATAAACACACTTCTCTTGCCAAACTAAGTGAGTTGTTATTCTCCCAATGATGACATTAAACTTTAGGAGAGCCAGTTTGACAGGAGCACTCTGTCCTCTCAACGAACACTTAACTAGATCTCAAAGATACATGTCGTTTACAAGCGGGGTCCTTGCCACCTGCAAATGACAAGTATTCATATTTTTATGAAGAGACAGTCAGTATTGTTTTCCTGCATGTCACATACCCGAAAGCAGGTTTTTATTCCACTCATGCCCCCAACAGTCTGATAAACAGCAGAATTAAGCTATCAAAGATTAACAACGGAAAACATGTGCGATACACCCCTTGATGTATTTTTCTCCCACACATGAGATGATTATGCTGAAGTTCAAGAGCTGTTTGAGGAAGTTGTCCTCTGATGAAGTCCCCCGATTTCCTCTCTTGGCCTTCATTTGCTCCCACTCTGCCTCCCCCCTCCTAATCTGACAGATGCAGGTGTGGCGCTGTCCTCCCCCAACCCACTCAAGGAGAGGAGGCAGAAACTAAAGCAGAGGCTTGACATTTGTATAGAAAGAGAACATGTGGGGACACATAACAAGTCGCTGAACTTGCCAATTACTCAAGTGGGATTATGCTCAACTCAATGATAAACCACAAATAGTCTGTGCTGCATGTTCAGCTTTAGTATGAACAGTGTCTAAAGGCTTCTTAAAATGGAAAGCACCTTCTGTACATTATTTCCCTCAGCTTTAAAACTAAACTGAAAGCATTGTTTGTTTACGTGATTGGTTGCTCCACTTGTGTTTCTCTCTGCTACCCACAGGACTCCTCACATGCTAGCTCTGCTCAAAAGATACATTCTTCGACAATTTACATAAATCAGACCTGTGGCACATAGGAAGTATTTGGACTATTTACATTTAATGTTAGTGCAAACAAGCCACCCTCTGGAAGTATCTTCCAATGTATGCGCTTGTGTTTAATTTCTCCATGTGTGTATACTGTCCCGTAGAAATAAAATACCAAAATAAGGTGGAGTCCTCTAAAAAAAATACTTCATTTTCTCTTGCAGACCTCTGGTAAGGCATCACTTCTTCCACTGAGGCCCATGCTGCATCAAAGACCTTCACTGTGCTCAGCTGGGCAGTGCACACTGAGTGCCTGTGCCATGCTTCACAGAGGGGCTGACCGGCTAACAGATCCAGATTAAATAACGCCTCTGAGCCAAAAGTGCTGCTGCTGAGGTTGGAAAAGAGCTGATAAACTAATGAAGAGTGCTTTCACTGTCACTGTGGATGCTTCACAGCGATGAGTGGGTGTTTCGGACTGTTCTGAACCCCACAGATGTTTGTTCACAAGAGAAGTCAGTGCTCTCTTTTACTAAAACGGTGTGGGTATGCGAGAAAACAAAGAAAATAGGAAGAACATAGGATAAAGTGGATCTCAGCAGGAGGATGTCAGCCGTCCTCGAGTACAATGAATGATTATTTTATAAACAGGTAGACCCTTTTATCTGAAATCAAATCAAATATGTGATAACTCTGATTGACAGAGGATCGACCACATAATTCAGTTCACACAATCTCAGCAATGTGAAGCATCTACAGGTGATCAGAAGTTGTTCACAACTCTATCAGGATATATTCTAAGAATGTTCACATATGATACATACAGTCCTTTTGGTGTGATTGACATCTAAAAACCAACACAAAAAAAGAAAATGTAGGTTGTATTCCTAAATTGACTGTATTTAAAAAAGGGACACACTTGTAACCTTTCCTTGAGAACACGAGTGATCAGGGGGAGAAGTGACATTTAAAACGTAGATAGTCAAGAAACATTTCAAACATAACTCAGTGTTACTGAACTTGGCAACAGGTGAGAGACTTATCATTGAAGTTTGAGGCGATTATAACATCTAACAGGGTTTATCATGGCATGGTCCTTTTACAGGTGCCTCGTGTCTCTGAAATCACACTCACCTTGTAGACCTTTCCAAACGCACCGTCTCCCAGCTCGCCAATAATCTCCCATAAATCGTTTGGGTTGACGTCCCGGTGAACGTGCTCATACTGCTTGACTTTCTTTTTCATCTCAATAGTAGGCAGACGGAGTATCCTGCTGAATCTAGCGAATGCCATTATTGACAATGCAACAACATCTACCTTAAAAAAAAAAGTATGATCAGGCTCTACGCAGAGAGCATTACGCACACAGAGAAGCGCAGCCCGTCAAAAAACAATCAAAACGCAGAATTACTAGTCTTCACTTCCCGCGTCCGAGAGAAAAAAAGGGTAAAACAAATTCAGAGAAGTTATTCTACGCAGTCCATGAGTACCAGGTGCTCTGAAGGCTCTGCAGTTAAAATCCCATTCACAAAGTGCTGAGGACGCGCGCTGACCACCTGCCGCTGCTAACACGATGGAGTAACCGCCCGCCTGTCAGCCTGCTGGGCAACTTGTTGCTTCCGACTGGCCGAAAACGCCCCACCTTGTTACGCAACAACCCTCCCACTGCCGTCATGGAAATGTAGTTGCTTTCAAAGAACATGCAGTCGTCACTATCTCACCGATGAGGTAAAAGGACTGCATGTCCGGGTTGTTGCTGGGCGTGTCCTAAAACAGCTGTGCCATTAACACAAATAAACCACTGTGGAATGTAGTTACTGACTAATAGTGATCCAATTGTGCTGTTCTTATACACTGCATCACTACAGGCCTGATGTGTAAGGCTATTAGTTAGGCCTATACGTTATCGGTTTTATTACATAACAAAAATGTGAAACTCTGGCTTTTCATAAAATGTCAATGAATAAAAAACTAAAACAAAAGATAAGAAATGATTGAATGATTAATTTGTTTCATTTTAATTTACCTGTAATGGTTTTCTCTTTTCATTCAGGAGACATGCTGGTTCAACAGACAGTGCTATGGGTCCCTCTAGTGTCGCAGTCAGCTCAGTGAACTGGTGCGTGTGGAAAACTGCACAGATACAGATAGACAGAGCAGTTTTACCAGGGACTGCCTATGATGAATACATAAGTATTGTTAAAATGATTGACAGATTTTTTGAAAGACGTATCTTAATAATCGTTTAAATCTTTAATCAAGTAAGATGTCCAACATTCTTAATACTTCCCAAATGTCATGATTTGTTGTTTTCATGGGTCATATTTGATAGTAAAAATAAAAAAGCACAACCAATTTCAAGATATTACCTTAGACTTTTGAATAATATCAATATGTTCTTGTGATAATAATAAAAAAATCAATTAGCCCTACAGTATATGATCACAACATCATGATGACAGCTAATTGTCTGTTTGAATAGTTTTTTTGGTCTAATCTTTTTAAAATTGCATTTCTGCTAAATAGAAAGGAATATGATTATATAACATATTTTATTGAGAGAACTTCAGACTTAAAGAAGTTTTCTTTAAGTCTGGAGCTTCTTTTTTGTTACCTTTTAGCAACTGAAGAACTTCTGTATAATATTACAAATCAGCAAAGGCATTTGAACACAAATTCTAAAATAGTCAGTGGAGAGAAATGGTCTATTCTATTGCGCTTTTGTTTATTAACATCACATTAATCCCCCCTCAGTCTTCGTTAATCAGTTTAACTTAAACACTTTAGTATTTGTATATAACAAATATTTAAATGGAGGGGTGAAGTACGTTTTGATATCTTTGAGCAACGTGTCCGATGTGCAGTTTTGTGTTATCAACCTCAGGTGGAAGAAGAAAACATGTGAGTTAAAGTCTGGGAAGTCAATTTCTGAGGAGTGCCTGATCCGCTGTTCTCTGTACAAATGATTGTTGTCAGCAAAATTAAATTCAAATCAATGCTGACATTAAGGAGGATGTCTTATTCTATCAGTCCATAAAGCCCTTCTAAAGGAAACTCATTGACCTTCATTTACCACCTAATTTGCATGAGTAATTCTCTCTCTGAGTTCTATTATATGAAAAGATTAGCCAATTATGGACATGAAGATTGGTTGAAGTGAGCGGTTTAAATGGGTTGGAAAACAGGATTTTGCATGTATTGTTGCAGTTTTCTTTCCCATTATCCATCATATATTAGGCAAATTTGTCTTATTTCCAATGTAATGCAAAATGAATCACTTTGTTAAACGTTCTCTTAATGTCACTTTGCACTCTTGATACAAAGTGAAAGAGAGATTTCATTCTGTAAATCCCTAGAGCCTGCAGTAAAGAGACAAGCTCATGCAAGTCCACACCGGCCCACAGAGGTTACTTATCCCTTCACTCTCATTACTTGCAATTGTGTTTGTACTTTGTACAGTTCCTATGACTACAAAAAGTGAATGAAGCTCCAGCGTGTTAACTTGATGCACTTTATCTTCCTCTAGCACCCCTTGGATTCACATAATGTATTTCATATTTAAGTTATTAGAAAAAATCAAATGTGCATTTTATTGTTAGATGTAAGACAATAGGGTATTTTGTTTTGTTTGTTTTTGATGCTTTCAATTATATGCTTATGTTTTTCTATACTACTCTGCTCTTGTGCCAAAAACATTCTTGACCAGTGGATGATGAAGAGCAGAGATCTTGAAGTAGACCTCTTTCACCTCTTAAAAAAAGGAAAGACTGGACAATATTGCAGTCTGTATTGAATGCAACTAACAAGCTTTTGTACAATATGATATCATATACTTATATCAGAATAGAAGGCATTTCCATAAAGTTTATTATGTGTTTCCTCAGTCTGATTCCACAGTTCAACCCGGAGAGACGTGATGTAAGAATTACATATTTATTGTTTACACGTCATATGAATGAAATGATTGCCATGATAGTACAACAGGAGAATGTAATGGTGTTTGGCGATTAGGCCCCCGGTTTGCAGGATAATCATTCAGGAGGGAAAGCACCGCTCCGATGAAATCCCCGGGGTCTAGACACTGGTGGTGGTGATGAGTAGGTGAGACCAGTCTGAAGGAGGAAGGTTTAGCTTTGTCCTGAAGGAGACGGGAGGCGAGAGGGGTGGAGGCGGGTTGCGTGTGATCATCTGCAATGACAACTGACAGGGAGGAAGAGCAGGTATTTAAGGCATTTAGCATGTGCAGCGATTGGCTGCTGAGGCATGACGCCCTCATATTTAATGAGGGGGGAAGGGAGCCATAGAGTGACGTGTGAGTGACTCGAGTTAGGTCTTCCTTATTGAACTTGCGCTAAAGCTTTCATTTCAACCCGGAGAGACGTGATGTAAGAATTACATATTTATTGTTTACACGTCATATGAATGAAATGATTGCCATGATAGTACAACAGGAGAATGTAATGGTGTTTGGCGATTAGGCCCCCGGTTTGCAGGATAATCATTCAGGAGGGAAAGCACCGCTCCGATGAAATCCCCAAAACCAGTGAAGTATGAATACTGAGATGAACTGAGTTGCTTACCTTGTGGGGTGACTGGTGATCTGGGGAGGAGAGATAATAGATTAACACGTATATGAGCGACACTGTGCCGGAATCACTGCCGGAGCTTACTGGTCATGCTGAGACTCTGACTGCCGAAATCAGTGCCGGTCTTATCTGAAAACGACCTGCGGGTCGCATGCCTGGCCAGCAGGGCTTGACTACGCCGAGGAGCGAGCGGTTTCGTTTTGTAACGGTGGCCCAACGTCCACGACACCGAAGTGTACGGTAGCCTTCCGCTACGACACCGAAGTGTACGGTGGCCTTCCGCCACGCCTGACTTCGCAGGCTATATATATATATATTTCTCTTTATTCTTTTTCCTTTGTTTTGTAACTGACACCGAAGTGTACGGTGGCCTTCCGCCACGCCTGACTTCGCAGGCTATATATATATATTTCTCTTTATTCTTTTTCCTTTGTTTTGTAACTGACACCGAAGTGTACGGTAGCCTTCCGCTACAACACCGAAGTGTACGGTGGCCTTCCGCCACGCCTGACTTCGCAGGCTATATATATATATATATATATATATATATTTCTCTTTATTCTTTTTCCTTTGTTTTGTAACTGACACCGAAGTGTACGGTGGCCTTCCGCCACGCCTGACTTCGCAGGCTATATATATATATATATATATATATATTTCTCTTTATTCTTTTTCCTTTGTTTTGTAACTGACACCGAAGTGTACGGTAGCCTTCCGCTACGACACCGAAGTGTACGGTGGCCTTCCGCCACGCCTGACTTCGCAGGCTATATATATATATATATATTTTTTTCTTTATTTCTTTTTCCTTTGTTTTGTAACTGACACCGAAGTGTACGGTGGCCTTCCGCCACGCCTGACTTCGCAGGTTATATATATATATATATATATATGTATCTTTTTTTCTTTACTCTTTGTTTTGTAACTGACACCGAAGTGTACGGTAGCCTTCCGCTACGACACCGAAGTGTACGGTGGCCTTCCGCCACGCCTGACTTCGCAGGCTATATATATATTTTTTCTTTACTCTTCATTTCTTTTCCTTTGTTTTGTAACTGGCACCGAAGTGTACGGTGGCCTTCCGCCACGCCTGACTTCGCAGGCTATATATATATATATATATATATATATATATATATCTTTACTCTTTCTTTATTTCCTTTGTTTTGTAACTGACACCAGAGTGTACGGTGGCCCGAGTCCACGCGGACTGCAGGAAATACATTTTACACTGATGCGTTTGAGCAAGGCCTGGGAATGAAATACCTGTGTGCCGGAGATGAAGCCCATTACCTGTAGTTGCGGCGTGAGACGAGACATTATTCCCTGTGGGCGGGGCCCGCGGAATTAGGACAGGAATGCAGTTTTGAATATCGGGAACCTTAGTGAGACATGTATACTTGTGAATGTGTTTGAGCCACCACCAGTTATATGTATAACTACCATAGTTGTTAGGGTCTGAGAGATCTTTGGGAAGCCCGTACGGCGCTGATGTCCGGACGAATGAAGGTTGTGAAGGCGGAGGAGGACCACCGTCCTAGTTGTTGTAGGGATGAGGTAGAGAGACCTTGATTAGCAGCAGAGGTGGCTGCACCTATCCTGAAGGAATGCCCGGGTATGATATGGGTGATAGGCTGGATTTAGTGAGAACTTGCTTGGGTAGAAATTGACGGGGGCCATGACCCTGCGAACCACTCTCCCTGGAAGAAACCCCCCAAAACCCATGGATGGGCGGCATCCGTGAAGACCTCATTGAGTCAGAGGAACGCACGAGGCCATCGTAAATAAAGTAATTCCGTTCCAGTGGGCGAGCAGGAGGGACCAGAACCGAAGGTCTGAACGGCAGCCTTCGTCTAAGAAAACGCAGTCATGGAGGTTGTCGACCGCTGATGCTGCGTCCAGGAGGCGGGAGATGAACGAGCGCCCCTGGGGGATGACGTGCATGGCGAAGTTGAGGTGTCCGAGAAGGGAGAGCAACTGTTGTTTTGTGATAACTTGTTGCTCGCAGTATGACTTGGTGATGTCCTGGATGCGCTGCGATTTGTCGGAGGGGAGAGACGCCTTCATGTCTATGGAGTCGAGGATGATGCCTAAGAACTCTAAGCGTGTGACGGGACCTAACGTTTTCTCTTTGGAGAGAGGGACACCTCACTCCTGAAGCAATGTTTAAGCTTGGCCAGTGAGATCCCTGAGCTGTCCTGTGGCGGGTTTATGGGGAGGAAGTCGTCCGGTAGGTGAAGGACGGAGGGGATTCTGACGATGTTCAGCAGGATCCAATGGAGCGCTTCCGAGAAGGAATTGAAGATGCAGGGGCTGCTTCTGCACCCGAAGGTCGTGCGAACGCGAAGATAGAGTTTGGACTCCCACTTAATACCGAACAAGTTCCACTGAGACGGATGAATGGGGATGATTTGAAGGCATCGGTAATGTCCGCTTTGGAGAGCCGAGCTCCGTGCCCTGTGAACTTGATCATCTTTATTGCATTATCCACTGAGGCATGGTGAAGGGAGAACTGATCTGGAGGGGTGATGCTATTGACGCTGCAGAATGGGCCGGAGCAGGGAGCGGACAGATCGAAAATCAGCCTTTTATTTACGTGTGGCTATTCCGATGGGATTTGAACGGAACACTGAGAAGGGGGAGGAGCTAAAAGGACCGATTATATATCCTTTGAGAAGTTCTTTGTCGATGAGCTGGGAAACTATGTTGGGTTCTTTAGCGGCTGTAAGTTTCTTGCTACGAAAGTCACTGTGGGAGATGGGAGGGCTCCTACCCTGAAGCCTTGGGAGAGCCCTGACGGGAGATAGTCAACGAACACGGAATCTGTAGATAGCGCAGCTGCTAGCTGAGGGATGTTAATGGGAGTGGAGGGGTGATATTCCAGAATGTTTTTTTTTTTTTTTTTTTTTTATGTTTCTGGCGCAGAGCCACTGTGACGGCCCGTCCACACGGTGGCGTGCGTTACAGATTCCGACGCTTCTGCCCATTCACTTTGAATGGGGTGACGTCACTTTTAGTAGAACTGTATTTTGGGAAGCGACGTGGAGCGTTTGCTGGCGTTGCTCGCTTCAAAAAGTTGAGCAATGTTCAACTTTTGGCGCCTCGGCAGAAGCGTCAGCCAATGAAGTCCCGTTTATGCAAATCTGCCGGTACAAGCGCTAGCCAATCAGACCGCGTGTATGTTGGGAGAGACTACGCAGGTAATTCCTCATATTCCAAAAATGTGAGGGAAAATTCATTATAGCGGTAGTGAATCACCCGGTGCTGTATGATCAGTCTCTGTTCATCTACCGGGATACAAACCAGAGGAGCGAGGCATGGAGGGAGGAGGCAGGGACAGTGGGTGAAACTGGTAGGTTTTCGCCTGTTGGGGATTTTTTTTTCCTTTCCAGTTTACTTAGTTTTAACATTGCTATTGCTTTGTGTGTCGGGCAAGAGATTCATGTGATTGGTTGTTGCTGCTGTGCGGACCGTAGCGTAGGCAGAAATTTACTTTAGGGTGGGCCTGTAAAAATATAGGGTGGGCCAGATTTTCTTCTGCGCATCGGAAACTAACCACGATCCCGCCGGTACCGGTGGCAGATTACTTTTAGAATACTTCCTTTCCTCTTCTTTTTCTTCTTTCCTCCTCTTCTTTTTATCTTTTCTCCTTTTCCTCTTCTTTCTATCTTTTCCTTTCTTCTTTCTCTTTAGAATACTTTCTTTTCCATAACAGATGGGTATGTTTTGGTGAACGGGAGACACGTATTTTACTGTTTTAATGGCTTATGAAGAGCACGAACACGACATTTTAGTGTCATTCTTGACAGCTCTCTCATCTGCACCGTACATAAAAAGAAAAACTCACCCAGACTGCATTCTTTGTACTGTCTTAAAACCTTTCCTTGGAAAAGTGTATGCATTGTAAGGTGTCCTTGGGTGCTTTGAAAGGCGCCCCTAAATAGAATACATTATCGTTATTATTTATTATCTGAAACGATGTAATCACTTTTAAAACTTTTCCCAGTTACTTGCCCCATGCATTCGGCAGCAGCAGGCCATTCAGTTAGATTTGATCCCGTTATGAATGTCATAATTTCGACAATACATAAATGCTACGTAAACGTTATCTTCCACGTTTTATCTAAACATCTCCGTTTCTACCTTCCAATATGTTTTGAAAGAGAACTCTCTCTCTCTCTCTCTCTCTCTCTCTCTCTCTCTCTCATCTGCGTGCGGGGCGGGGCCTCACGGACACGCTACATCTCTCGCTCGCAGATACGCTGCAGCGCTGTGCACACGGTTCTGCCGGTAATGAATATTACATTGTGAGGAAACTTTCCACCAATAATTCCAATAAGTATTCACTTCAGGTTTACGAAAGTAACTGCACTCAGTTTACTCGTTTTTTCAAATGTAACGCCAGCTGAATGTACTGATTTTTTTTTTTTTTTTCTTTCTTTTTCTTCCGATTACGTAACACCGTTACATGTATTCCGTTACGACCCAACCCTGTGTAAGGGTCGAGTGCAAACGTTTTCGTTAAAAACTAGTACCTGAGTGCAACGGAAGTTGAAGCTCCTGTGGCGGAGTCTTCCAGAGCCTGGAGGCGAGCATCGATAGCTATCATGGAGCTAGCCAGGGATTGCAGGGAGCCGGCCGCGCTACTCTCCATAGGGGTGTGTGACGCTCCCGGACTGGCGAGCCTGAGAAGGGGTGGATTTTTTGGAGGGGGACGGGATCCTGGAGGGCTCGACTTCCTGCCCTTTTTTTACCTCCGCGGCTGCGGCCTCGTCCTGCTCTCTGGGAAGCTGGCTGGAGCTGCTGCCCCGGACTGGGGAGCTACGCTGGAGACCTGGTCCGAGAGCTATCGCCGCTGAGAGAGAGTGAGGCCTGGGGCTGTGGGAAAGCCCTGCTGCAGGAGCCGGGCGATGAGGAAGTCTTCCTCTGTTGATAAGCCGCTGTGGGGAGCCGAACCGGGATCGGAGACTTCCAGAGAAGGTTCGTGTTCCGAATTGTCCGAGTTGGACATCTTGAGCTAGTTGTTTCTTACGGTTTTTCTCACGAGAAGCAGTATTGTATTGCAACTACCATTGCGTGTGATCATCTGCAATGACAACTGACGGGGAGGAAGAGCAGGTATTTAAGGCATTTAGCATGTGCAGCGATTGGCTGCTGAGGCATGACGCCCTCATATTTAATGAGGGGGGAAGGGAGCCATAGAGTGACGTGTGAGTGACTCGAGTTAGGTCTTCCTTATTGAACTTGCGCTAAAGCTTTCATTAGTTACCATAGATTTAGTCTTGCGTATTTTAGTTATTGCCCATGCTTAAGGAAGGACTGTATAGCTGTCAGACAGTAATATTGATATCTCAGTATCCAGGGTAGCGCTCCAGCACAGCACAGTCATAGATTGTGAACACCAAGTCCTGGAAAAATATCAAATAGATGTTTTTAGTTAAAACAAGTGCAATTGATTTAGATATTTGAATGCAAAGTTTTTATTGTTGGCAGTAGCTCAATTTCAAATGCAATTCAATCCTAATTCAATTCATTGTTATCTGAAATTAAACATTCTAGTAAACAGAAAATCACCAATATGCGTGTGTATACTTACACCCACACATTGTAATTTCAGGCTATTGTTGACATTAATTCTAGGTCAACCTTTTTCTGGTAATTAAGCTTGCTGAAATGACCGTAGTGAAAGTGATATAAAGCTGTTAATAAAAAAATAACCACAAACCAACACGAGTTGTCTCCACAGTTCAGCAGAGAAGGCTCAAATATCCAGAGTGATCTGAATGTTTTCCATAATCTGAATCATAAACCCTGTTTAATCCCGTGATATGACCCACTGAGTGACCCATTAAATGTTTTTTCCTTTTCTGTTTTATGTTGTGCTGCAGTGGTGCAGACTTTGGCTCAGTGTAAATGCAGTAGATAAAGGATCAGTTGTACCATTTTGTTTTCCCTCTAAGTATAATGTTCCAATAACAAAATATAACTACTGTAGAGTATTGGGAATACAGGAACAACAATTGGGCATTTAATAAATGATGTTATATAAATACCTATTACCGTAAATCCTATGTACCTATGTTTTTAAGATTGGGAGTCACCTTATTTTAAGATAAGCAGCACAACTTCTACTAACAATACAATATAAACAATTACTACTCAAAAACCTCCTCTATCAACAGAAAAGGCACATGTTGAGGTCCATTAAAAGTACAGACAATGTAAAAAGAATAATTTCTCGGCAATCTTATTTAATGTTTGCATAAATGTATCTTTATATGTCAGACGTCAGAGCGATTCATTTGAAGCCTGTTACATCTACTGTCACTGAATGCTCATGCTACAGCCCCAATGGCAAACTATAAATCCCTTTATATTCTGCAAGATGTTTTATTTTGTGTCCCCATATAATATAGTGCTATTTGAGGCTCATTGTGTTGAATCTATTTGGACCATTTGTCGCATCTTACCCCGCGACATTTCTCCGACATGAAGATGAAGAGCTGTCTGAGAGTGTACCCCAGCTTCATCACTTCTCTGGTGTAAGCGCAGCGGCGGTCTCGCAGGCCTTCCACCAGGGAGATGTAGGTCCTCATTTTGTGCATCACACAGGCATTCTGCATTCAGCATGAGTAGCAATTAGTGTCTCAGTGCGTGATTTACAGCTTAGGTTTTCAGACAAAATACCACAGCTGTTAGTGTGGAAAAATGTTGGACAGTGATACTACTCAAAACAAAAAGTGATGGATGAACAACAACTAAAAGTAGAAGATAAGAAAACTATTTTTTTTACCATGAAATAAGTAAATGTATACATGCCAATCATGTAAAATAACAAATACAATCTAGCATCATCAACACATGTGACAATCATGGGGAATTTAAAATCATACTTACATGGACATCAAGGTAGAGATCTGGCATGTGTGCCATGCAGTAACTCTGGATGCAAGGAAAACATATAATACATATAACATTCAATAATTCAGCATTGACAGGATAATATTATGTAGTTCTTTAAACCTATCCATTATCTTAGAAGTCACAGTTGCCAAAACAAACCCAACTGAAATGTGTCTACAAATTACAAGCTCACTATTGTTTTGATTAGATTGGATTAAACTATATTGATGCATATTTGTATCTAGAAAATAAATGAAGGAATACTATCACTATTTGTCCAAAGTACAATAAATAAAAAAGCACTAGATACTGAAAACATCACAGAAAATGTTTACACAAAACAATTTGAGAATATATGCTAAACCAAACTTTAGTGTACAATGTAATCGATATAGAGCAAACATGCAGCAGCGGACTTACAGTTTCATGGCCCCTCTTCAGATCTGCAGCCATCTGGGTGAGATCTCGCGCCATGCTCAGCACCTTGCTGTCGCATGTGGGGGGGAAGAAAGGGTAGCTCAGTACCAGAGGCACAAGAGACAAAACAAGAAACAAGTGTTTAAAGATCGCCATGACTCCCTGACACCTACTTCACTAACTGAAACGATGTTTGTTTGTGAACTGATGCACACACGCAGCCACGTATGCATGGAGACAGATTACAACACACCCTCTGTTTACTCCAAAATAATTATGCAACTGCAGGGGATTGACAGGAGACAACCCATTGTGTAAGATGAGACAGATGGAGAAAGCAAAAAAAAAGGCTAGAGAGAAGTGTGAGCTGTACATTTTTGTCAAAGATCTCTATACTGGAAAGACATACATTCATAATAATCTCAGAAATGAAGGGATATTCAGCAAGGTATTTTTTATTTCAGAGTGTAAGTTGTTGAATAAGAAGTCAAATTTGAATTTACTTTAGTAAGTGTTACGAATGGGTGAAGCAGGTAGGACTCAAATGCAGAATTTAACGAAAACCGAGCTTTATTAAATAATAAAAGCTGTGGCAAAAAAGGCAGTATCCAAAAAATCCAAAACAAACGAGCAGCACAAGGAACACAGACCGTGGAATAACATGGAGGGGAAACAATGAACCAACATGGAAGACTAGACTACTCACAGGACAAGACACAGATGGGCAGGGGAGGGAGAAACACAAGGGCAACAGGTGAACACAATGAGACAATCAGACACACCAGGGAAACTAACGACAGGGAGGAGGACCAGACAAAACACAAGGAGGAAGACAAAACACTGAATGAACAGACTTACAAAACCCATAACCAGACAGACAACACTAAAACCGTGACATAAACCTAGGAGTGTGACAGTAAGAGTATCAACACCACAGTGTAGAAATAAATGCTCCAAGTCATGCTTTTACTTCACATGTCAAATTCTATACGCAAACATACTCGAAATGCAGAAAAGACCCTTTTAGAATATTGTCTATTGTGATATTGTAATATGTAATATAATCATCAGTGATGCTTTACTGTCTAAATAATTTTAACCTTGGTGAACGTGGGCCTAATATTACATTATTTATAGACAGCTGAGTAGTTTGTACATTTTCCCAAAATGATCAAATGCAAAAAAGTCAAAAAATTGCATTTATGTTTTAAATACATTATCATTTTTCATCGGAAAAGTTAAAATGTCTCAACTTAATACATTTGACTGTGTAAAAATACAATAATTTCTGATTATAGTCAAGAATAGTAAATGCTCTTTGTTACTTTCCACTAGTCAATATTAGGTTTCATATATTTGATCTCTTAGTATTTGTACCACAATTATAAAAAAAAACATGACAGTGACTGTCTCTAGATAAATCTCTAAATTAAAAATACATTTAAAATGAAACTGCTGCATGTTTTAAGTGTCTTTGACATTATTTGCTGCTGTTTGCATTTACATTTTAGGCATATTGAGTTTTCACATTTTAACTAAATGTGTCATATTACCCAAACTGCCAAGCCAGGAAGGATCCAGACAGCCCTGAGGCGGAAAAGGGACCAGATCATTCAAATGTTCAACCTTAATATAGAAAAAGAACAGCTTTAATAGCCTGTACCCTGATACGCGTGTTCCATAATCTATCATCTCTGCATTGGCCAGGGGAGTGTGGTGTTGAGACCCCGACTGTAATATTGATCATGGCAGTGATTTATGCTGTTAAATATGTTCCTTTAATACCTTTGCTGTATAAACACCAGATGCTGTCATATCCTGTTATGTCTTTTTTTCTCACTAGATGGGGCTAATTTCACAGAGTTAAACACCTTACATCTTCATGAGCAGTCCAGCATGCTTAAGTGTCATGTTGAAATTCAGCAAAGAAGTGTCTTTTCTTTTTACAAGCAAAATAATATCCTCAATTAGGACAACATTGGCACACGCTGCCTGCCGTAAGTTAAGTGTCTGTACTGTGTTTCTCTCCAGGTGTGATATGACACTGGCATCACTCATCTCATCTAAAAGAGGAGTACACCCCCTGATGCCGCAAAGCGCACAATACAGGAGATGAGTGATGCTCGTCACCTCTCACAGCCTGTGTTGATAGTTTGAGGTCTGTCCCCTTCCTCTGTATGAAGATGGATGGCCCACACCGAGTGTGCCCTGGCATGACGGAGAGGCGTTAAGAGGAAGAAAAAGTGCAGCGTGGGCTGTAAGCATATCTCTGGTCCCACAGTCCCACCACTCAGCCGTTCTCCTCTCGACCTTGGCCTACTCAATTAACAGGGGACACGGGTGACAGTCCTTGTAATGGAAGGATGTGTTTTACAGTTAGTAGTTAATGGCCATGGAAGGTAATGAATTATTAGAGATTGGACTACAGGAATCTGTCCCTAATGACAGAGAATTCCAATGCGGCAAATCCCTATTATGGTTTTTAAGACCATAGATATTCATTACATATATCAGGTGACTCACATGTTTTTTTTATCTTTTCCTCTGTATTTGAAAATGTAGGCTCATGTATGGAGATCATCTTATAATTGAGGTTTAATACATCCGTTAAGTTGTAGAACTCTATCTCGATAACATATTTTCAAAAGAATAGGTCATAATGATATAATCCTACATTTTATGAAATAATAAGTATTGCAGGCCCAATGTAAGGCAAGGCAAGGCAAGTTTATTTATATAGCACATTTCAACACAAGGCAATTCAAAGTGCTTTATAAAAAACGAAAGACATTAATAAAATGGCATTTAAAATCAGTCATTAAAAAGAAAATAAACATTAAAAGAAAAAATACATGGATAAAAGTTACAGTGCAGTTTAAGATATGAATAGTTCAATTAAAAGCAGCGACAGAAAGAAAAGTCTTTAGTCTGGATTTAAAAGTAGTCAGAGTTGCAGCGGACCTGCAGTTTTCTTTGAGTTTGTTCCAGATATTTGGAGCATAATAACTGAACGCTGCTTTACCGTGTTTAGTTCTGACTCTGGGGACAGAAAGCTGACCAGTCCCTGAAGACCTGAGAGATCTGGATGGTTCATAATTTAGCAGGAGGTCAGAAACGTATTTTGGGCCTAAACCATTCAAAGCTTTATAAACTAGCAGCAGTATTTTGAAATATATTCTTTGACACACAGGAAGCCAGTGTAAAGACTTCAGAACAGGAGTGATGTGATCCACTTTCTTAGTGTTAGTGAGGACTCGAGCAGCGGCGTTCTGAATCAGCTGCAGCTTCCGAATATATTTTTTAGTGAGACCTGTGAAGACACCATTGCAGTAGTCGAGTCTACTGAAGATAAAAGCATGGACAAGTTTTTCCAAATCCTGCTGTGAAATTAGTCTTTTAATCCTAGATATATTCTTTAGGTGATAGTAGGCGGATTTAGTAATTGTTTTAATGTGACTGTTGAAACTCAGGTCAGAGTCCATGACTACACCTAGATTTCTGGCTTTATCTGTTGTTTTGAACATTGCAGGCTGAAGCTCAGCACTAACTTTTATACGTTCTGCCTTGGCTCCAAAAACCATTACCTCAGTTTTATCTTTGTTTAATTGGAGAAAGTTCTGACACATCCAGTCATTGATTTGTTCAATGCACTTACACAGTGTTTGAATTGGAGCATAGTCTCCTGGTGAAATTGTTACGTAAATGTGTGTGTCATCCGCATAGCTATGGTAACTTATGTTGTTGTTTTTCATTATCTGAGCCAGTGGTAGCATGTAGATGTTAAAGAGAAGAGGCCCCAAGATGGAGCCTTGAGGTACCCCACATGTCATATTTGTCAACTCAGATGTGTATTTACCTATAGAAAGAAAGTTTTTTCTGTCCTTTAAGTAGGATTCAAACCAATTTAGAACTGTTTCCGAAAGTCCCACCCAGTTTTCTAGTCGGTCGAGTAATATGTAATAATACTAACACTGAAGTTCTGCCACTGTCTGTGTTTAAGTGGATGTCATTGAAGACCTTTACAAGTGCAGTCTCAGTGCTGTGGTTTGGACGAAAGCCTGACTGGAACACATCGAAACAGTTATTTAAATGCAAGAAATTACTCAAATGTTGAAAGACTACTTTTTCAATGATTTTACCTAGAAATGGCAGGTTTGATATGGGCCTGTAATTGTTCAATGTAGCCTACTCTGTGCTTACAAGCATAGTATACAGAGCATCTCAAAGGGATATTGCATTATTGCCTAAGGAGACTATAAAAAAGGAATACCATAAAGCACATAAGGTCAGAAAAGATTAATTATAGAACACCATAAAGACATTATCCAATGTTCTCCCAGTATAATTACTATTTCCATATAAGTTTTAAGGCTATTATGAGACAGCAGGCTCAGCTCGTGTATAAAGAGGCTGCCCTTCACCTGGGGGGGGGGGGGGGGGGGGGGGGGGGGGGCTGGGGGGGGGGAGGCGCTGGGGGCACGAGGTTGAAACAGCATGGACGACAATGTGCCTGGCTGAAAAGCCTTGAGCAGAGTGGTAAAGCAGTATCAGCTGTAGGGGGTGCTATGCTAAAGCTGATCGTGACCTCTGACTCCATGCTGGCACCATGAGAGGATTTAACTGCCTGCAGAAATAAATAAGGTGGAGTATTTTTGAGGCAATGCACATTTTAAAGTGACAGGCATAGACTTTTTTTAAGCTAAAAGTGCATACATTATCTGATTATGTCACTCAACCCTCATTTGGGGCTCTAATGTAAGCAAGAAAAAAATCACTACAGGGTATTTTTAGTGACTCTGGGGCCCTTAAAGTGAACTTTAACTATGACAGGAACACTCGTTTACTTGACTTTATTTCCTAAATTAAATATTCAAGTTATAACCAATAAGGCGTATAGCCTATATGTGGAATTGTTGTAGAAATGCATCACAGAATACCATTGTTTAGCTAAGTGTATAATAACGACATGGGAACCCCCAGTCCCCCGATCCCACAGCAGAGCAGCCTGACCAGCCCGTGAAACGTGCCTCTCCAGACGCACGGTGCTGGCCAGCAGCGCATTACACAGGCGGCGATGTGGAGGTCAGTCGCTCATCAGTGCCGAGCAGTTTCCCCCTTAAACCCCTATCTCTACTCGTCGTCCAGAAAACAAACGG